TCAGTCCATCATCATTACATATGCATAATCATACATTAGGCATACAACTTTAAGAATTCAGAACAAGCCTCAGGCTCCATCATCATTCACATATGCATAATCATACAGTTTAGTACTCCGAATTCATATATAGGATACTTAGTCAGTGAGGAGCAAGGATTCATATTTCACCACAACTTAGAGACATCAACATATTATTAAGCATGAACACATCAACATCATCATAGATTCATAGTCACTTGCAACATCATAGATTCAAATACAATCATCATAGGGTTTCAGCAAGAATCATTCATTTTATCAAACATTCAAATACAAATTCACAATAAAACCGTAGATATCAATACCTCAGAGTCAGAGACAATGCAATAGATTACAAACTTTGGAATGATCGAAGAACGATTTCCACCGATTAGGGTTTCAGCGAATCAGCAAGACTGTGTGCCTTTCTGTGTGAGAGCTTCCACCAAAATACCAAATAGAAGTATAGAACTATAGAAGTAATTGAAGAAGGAAATCAAAGACCGAGAGAGGAGAGTAAGGGTTCAGACATAAGAGAGTTAGAGAGAGGATAGAGCGAAGAGTAGAAGACAGATCGAAGAGGCGGATAGGGTTAGGCCGGGTAGAAAAGTTATACGTAGGTATATATATAAAATCCAAAACGACGCCGTTTTGGTATGTCGGATTTTTCGGGCGGATCGGGTTAGGGTTTTATAAACCCTACCCGCAACCCGGTACCCGCCCAAACCCATATAATTTTTCGGATGTGGATAGTCAGATCGGATATCCATATCCATTCGGATAAATCCCGGAAAAAAAATCGGGTTTTTCGGGTCGGGTCGGTTTTTGCTCAGCCCTACGTACTGGCCTCTCAGGCTCTTTGCAGATTCACCAAATAGGCATATGCAATTCTTTCCCAGCCTCCCAGGTTTTTTATTTTGAGATATTAATTAATTTGTTACTAACTCCGTTTAAAGAAATTGCTTCGGATATGTGTAAAAACTAGAAGAAATTTCTAAAAATGGACTAAATATGTTTTCCAAAAATATGGCATATTTTGAAATAGGCTCATCTTATTTTGAGATGAAATAATGACACTCCTATTTGAAGAAATGTGTCATGTTCTACTTCTATTTCAAGATTTTTTTAATATTTACTCTTACTATGTGGCGTCAATTTTGACATTCTAGTATGCCCATTTTAAAATAAAAGCATTATATCATTAAAAAAAATACTACCTCCGTCCAGAATTGAATTGCAAAGTTTTACCGGCAAAGGATTAAGGAATGACAATAAATGATGCTTGTTTTTTATATTTTTGCTCATCTTTCTAAAAGTAGATGTCTTAAAGTTAATGGGAAAAAAGTAAAAACTAAGTAAGGGTAAATTTGTCACTTTATTCTTATTTACATACCTAAACTAGAAAGTGGAAAACCATTTTGGAACAATCAAAATAGGAAATTTTGCAAATCAAATTGGGACGGAGGGAGTTTGTAAGAAGAGTATGCAGTGTTTTCTTTATATTAACTAGTTTTTCACCCGTGCAATGCACGGGATAACAAACTAATCAAAGTGCAATTGGATTTAGGGGTGACAAACTAACTGAACCTTAACATACCGAACCATATGTAATTTGGTTTGAGTTGGGTAGTAATTCTTCTAAACCGTATTAAACTGAACCACATTGAAACTGAATAAGACCGAACCAAATTAAAGAAATTCAATGAAACCTTCATATATTATTGGGAAAAAAGTCAAAAATGACACTAAAGTTCTTAATGAATTTCATATTCGACACTATGATTTTAAGTGGACCCTTAACATCTCCGTTAATTGGTTCATTTCACCATTATCATCGGTTTCCCCTTGTGATTATGAACTCCTCAAAGATGCCATCCCAAAGTATCGGCGGCCCTAATCGATTGAGGTACACAAATAAAAAAAGTGGAATACATGTTCATACCCCAACTTCCAGTCTTCCTCCGTAGGTAGGTAGGTAGGTAGGTAGGTAGATAGATAGATAGATAGATAGATAGATAGATAGATAGATAGATAGATAGATAGATAGATAGATAGATAGATAGATAGATAGATAGATAGATTGATTGATTCGTATAAGATGGATATTATCTTATCGTCTTCAAATGTTGACATAAAAGCAATTAAAATTTAGAACAATTATGTAAAGTTGCTCGAGATGAAAGGAATAAAGGGGTTGGGAAAATAGGCAAATAGCATATATTTATCTTGGATACCAACATTTTTTGTCTCTTATTTGATAATTGATCTTGTGATTTTTAGATACTCCATTTAGTTGTTGTTATATTGTTTTGCAGTAATTATATATTAATGTCGAAGGGGCTAAATGTGCAATTATAAAAGCTAGAGAATAAGAAAAGCAGTTTTCTTAACTTCAAGCTTCGCTAGACATTGATACTCCGATGCAAGTGTTGACGGTGAATACGTGACAAGAGAGAGTTAGATGCATTAAAATAAATAATATAACTTCATTCTCTTATGTTCATGGTGTATAAGTTTTTAGTTACATTTTATTTTATTGATAATGTCGAACAAAATGACTTGTTCTTGACATTGTGAAGTAAAGGTAACTAAAAATAAACACAATGTGGAAAGAAAACATAAAGAAATCAGATTAGCTAATTTTTATGTATTTATGTATTTTCAACACTTTTATAATCTATTAGAGATAGCTCTATATATGATGTAAATTACTTTAATAAATTGCATAATCGGAATAAATATTTAAACAAGTTGGCACTCTTTAAAACCTTTCAACTTTTGTACTGCTTGAACCCTTTTTTTTCTCTTTACTTTTTAAAACAATTTCACAAAACTCAATTATGTTAAGAACAATCCATTTAGATGACTAACACCCTTTCTCTTGAACTTTTAAGTTTATAGCCATCTTGGTTTTCTCTGCAAATTTTGAGAGAAGAAAACTTGTTAAAGTTTTAAAACTTTCAAATGAAATGTTTAGTCTGACTACGTTTTATTTTTGTGTAATTTCAAACTGAAAATGTTGCATTTGTAGCAATACAAATACTATTTAGTAGTTTTTTATCCCTCACCTTTCGAACTTAACTGAAAATAAACTCGACTGAAGACGCAACATTGTTTAATAATTGAGGGGTGAAAATGATGATGATGTGATGCACATAACTATGGGGTGCTGAGTGCTATGGGATGAACGGAATAGAAGGGTGTGGCAAGGAAAGAGGCTGAAAGATGGTCTGAGACTATTCAAGAAGCCTTGAGTTGGTGCAAAGATGAGGATGAGACTTATTAGAGATGCGCTTCGAGCGTTGGCGGAAATCCAAAAAGGAAGAAGTGACATGGCAAGCGGTTTAATGATGGAGGACATTAGAGACATTGAGACTGATTTTATTAGCATTGATTTTTGTCATATTAGGCGTGCAACAAAACGAGTTGCTCATTTGTTGGATAGAGCGGCCGATTCAATGTCTATTTGTATTGTTTCTCCTTTAGTAATATATTGTTTCAGCAATTAGTAATATATTGATTAATGAATGAACTATTCAAACTATTATATAATTATTATATAAAACAGTCCTTAATTGTTTAGAGGCGGGTATTGTGCATTGATATACTCATACTTTGTTATAATTGCATCTAGTCGATAACAATATTTAAAGATCAATAAAGATGGGAAATGTTGTGTTTGGAAGAATAAATAGAAGCTGAGAGCTGGTCTAAATTAGATAATAGATATTGTTATCTAAAGTTGGATAAAAGTTGCTCACTGAAAATGTTAACTGAATGAAGAAGTAAACTTATTTGGCTACACAACTCAAGTAACGATAAAAATATATAAAACTAAAATAAAACATTACGTTTCAATAAAATAAGATAAAAAAAAGTCTAAACTATGTCCAAATAGTCCAATTAAGAATCAGTTGGACTTTTAACCAAGTACAACTGTATAAGGAAGCACAAAGATAGCACCCCTGAGCTTCAAGGGGAAAAAGAAGCTTCATTTACAAATAAAGAACACCAAAATAATACGATCATTTATAACTCATTCGGTAAGTATGTGTTACCGTAAAGAAGAAAATATTTGCAACATATCCATTGATAAAAATACTTTAAATGCATACAACTTTTGGGAATAAGGGTTGCATGTTGTTGTTGTTGAAGACATACAAAATAAATGCTAAAATGTGCGGTCGGACTGTTGGAGCAACTTGAGCCAAAAAGTATGATCAGCCCATTTCATCAGAGTGCATGTTTGTTCACCCCTCTAAGGAGGGTGAACATCACCCACATTCCCTTATTTGTTGCCACGTGGCTTTCCATGCTTTTTTTTCTTTAAATTATTTTAATTTTTTATTTATTGTTCAAATTGTATAAAAAAGTATATCAGATTTAATAACTTTTTAAGATCTTTCCAATGATATCAATATTGTATATAAAAAAATTGGACAAAAAAAACCATTTTTTTATAAATATTCATTTCTAGCTGGATTTTTTAAAAAAATTTTATATGAAATATTGGTACCATATGAAAAATCTTAAAAAATTAAAAATTCTGATATACTTTTTTAAAAAATTGGATTAAAAGTGAAAAAGTTAAAACAATTGCCAAATAGTTGAGAATTAGGGTGGGAGGTGAACAGCACCCTCTTTTGAGAGGGTGAACAAATTTGAACTCCATTTCCTTTGTTTCATAATTAACAAATTTAATGTATGTGCGTATATAGGGTGTGTTTTGGTGAGAATGATAATTCTTGCATGGAATGAAAAATGTGTAAATGGGTGCACTTTTAGTTCATTAATGTGCACATTTATACTTGGAGCAATTCATGTTACAGAAAAATTGAGTCCATTAGTATAAATGTACTGCATTTTTATTAGATTGTATGTATTGTTGGCATCTTTTGACCTCCTAAATCACAAAATACAATGAACCAGATTCATTCTAATTTCTCGTATAAGAAATTATTCTGTTTTAATCTAATGTGTGTGTATTCACCTTCTGATGAGTATAAACATCTTCTGCCCATCAATACAGCTGCAGAAATATCAACATCCCAACTTTTAGTTGGCTTTCCTTTCTAAGCTCTTCTTCAATTAACTTATTTCTCATATCAGATTCTAAATGATTGAACACACAGAGGGAACTAACTAGTTCCTTCTAAAATGAAACTGACACCATGATGTAAGAATCACTTGAAAGAAAATAGAGTGCATTGACAATCAAGAAGAAAACAAAAAAAATCAGGAAATCCAGGACACCCACTCTTATTATCTTCAGCAGATGGATGAATTCAAAAGTGGGTACAAATAAATGAAGAACCTGGAGAGCTCATTTCGATTTCTTTCCTGGCTTCTTCTTAATCACTTCATCAATGTACATTATCCCTTTCCCTTTGTATACTTCTGGTGGTTTGCAGCTTCTGATGGCCGCAGCAAATTGATTTGTCCTTTGCTTGTCAATCCCTGTGCAGCAGATCACGTTCGGTTTGAAGCAAAACACACGAACAGCTGGAGGAACAGTGAGCTCAACCTCATGGCTGTAACCCAGTTTTAGGTATAACAGACGCCCCTCTGCTTCAGCTCTTGCTTTGAAACCAACTCCAACTATCTTTAGGAAGCGAAAGAACTTTGATTCCATTCCTACTAAATCATAACCATGACATCAAAACCAGTTCAATGCAACGCCATTATACTGTTTTTCTTTCTTTTAGCATTAGCCGTACAGCAAAAGTAGCATCTATGAATATACTTCCTCCGTTCTTTAATTCTTGCAACATTGTGATTTTTGCACTATTCACGGACTTTACTTTGACTACGATTTTCTACTAATATACATAATCAAATTATTACGTATAAAATGTTATTAAATTCCTATCAATGTGAATTTCCAAAATATCAAATTTTTATAATGTTTACTAATACATAATTAAATATAATTACAGTCAAAGTTGTATGTTGGCAAACGTGAAAGTCAAACTGTTGCAAGAATTAAAGAATGGAGGATAGTATAAAAGTGAAAAGAAATTTCCTACCACGTTCCCGTCTAAAGAGCTCCCAGTGAATAAAAACACCTTATCTTAGAGTGAAAAACCCCAAAAAATGAATAATAACGTAAAACAGAAAGCCCCATTCTGTGCTAAGTTATGATATGATAGTACCAAAAATGCAAAGGCTCAAATGAGCACCTAGGGAAAACCTCTGGAATTTGAAATTCTTACCAAACAACACAAAAACACGAAACACTTCAAGCCAATATCTAAGGCAACCCTGCCGGCCTATTGGTTGGCCATTAAATTACACTTATTATAAATCCTTAATTTAGAAAATTATTCACCCTTTAACTGAAATGAAAGATAAAGAACGAACCTCAACAACACCCTCTCAGCTCGATCTATTCACTGTTGATAAGATATAAAAAGATATGTACGAATAAACAAGACAAGGTGCGATAAAATAAGAAGACAGTTGGTAAAAATTGACTAACCTCGGTCTGGATATTAGCCGAACCGCATGGTTTAGGCTGCGTCCGACCTAAGGAGAAGAGGAGCTGCAAGCCTGCAAACGGAGAGAGCGTACGAGCTGAAAGATGGTAGATCGGATGAATTGGTAGACGAAGAGAAACGGTACAGTACAGCGTACAACTACAAGCGAAAGTATCTTGGCATGTGATTTTCTAACTGGACTGGATCGAACACTTTGGGTCTATAAATTCAAAGGGCCTTTTGGTAATATCAAAATCCGTTGAATTGGTCGATTCTGCTGAAACTTATAAAGTTCTGACTGAAGTGCTTGGACTGACTGATTCTACTCATTTATATAAAAATTTAGAAGATTTACCTAAATAAGACTAAATAAAAGGATAATTGTAACAATAGGAGTTTAAAGTTTAAATTTCCAAAATAAGACTAACTTTTCGTATTCTACCCTTTACTTTGCCCTTCCTAATAGGATTTTTTAAACATTCATTATAAAATATATAAAAAATCAAAATAAAAAATAAAAATCGTAAAAAGTAATTAAAAAATATACAGACCTCAACCACCACCTCAACTACCTTCCAGCACCGCCACCTCCGGTCGCCGGAAAAGATTGCCAAGTTGGAGGAAAAATGTCATCATGATGGCAATTTTGAAGAAAAATCTGGATATTTTCTAAGAGTAAAAATGTCATGTTCATGGCATTTTCAGAGAAATGTGGCATTTTTTACACAAGATGACATTATTTTCCGGCTACCAAAGTTGGTGGTGTTGTGAGGTAGAGGACGTGTTGACAGTGACCTACATATTTTTTAAATATTTTTTAGGTATTTTATTTTATTTTTTAGACATTTTTAAAGTTTTTTAAATATTTTATTTTTTTTTAATTTTTCTAATTTTTATTTTATTTTTTCACGTTTTTGTTATTAATTTCTAAATATTTTATTATTTTTATATTTTTATTATAAATAAAACTATGATTTTCTTATTTGTAAAATAGAACTATTGGAAATTATAGGAAGGGGTACAATGAGAAGAATGGACATATATTAGTCCTATTTGGGGGATAAAGAGATAGTACTCCTACTGTTGAATTTTGGGCTTATTTTGGTCCTATTAAAAGCTAATACCCCAAAAATTTATATGAGTATTAAATATATTTATTATTTATTAATAAAATAAGGGAAAATTGTCAAATAGGTTTGTGTACTATTATCAAAAAGTCAATCAAGTCCACTTACTAAATTGTCATTCAATCAAGTCCATGTACTTATAAAAAATGTTCAAATTTTCCATCTAGCAGGTGAATGACCAATTTGTCCGGTTAAAGTGCTTACGTGGCTCCCATACAGGGCCGTCTATTGGGCTGTGCAAGCAGTACTTCTGCACTGGGCCTACAGATAATTAAGGCCCATAATTTTTAAAAAACCAGTAGTATATATGTAAGAGAAATATTCCTGTCCGGAATTCCGGACAGGAATCGTCGTCCGACGATGGTGTTTAGGACTCTTTCCGATCGACTTTTTTTATGAAATTTTTATGGCATGTTCTTCATTAAGTCTAGTCTATACAAAAAAAATCAGCTAAAAATTAAATAGGTAAGGTCGTCAAATCATTTTTGGAAGTTAATTGCGTTTTATATGTATATTTTGGCGCAGTTATCTTCCAAAAATTATTTGAGTACCTTATCGATTGAACTTTTAGCTAAATTTTTTTGTGAATGAACTAGACTTGTTGGAGAACATTCCATAACATTTTAATAAAAATAATTCACCGGGACCATCCCCAAATGCCGCAGTCCGGATGGTGGTTTTGGTCAGAAATTCCTTACCATAAGAGTACTCTTTAATAGAAATTCAAGAGCTCAACTAAAACATAGTAGTAGTAAAAAAGAACTCAAAGGTCCTTACGTACGTGCATCAAAGCTTGAAAGCCCAAATTTCCATCTCCCAAGCATCAAACCCACAAATCCCACAATAAATGAAACGAAAGTGGGCTATGCAACAATTCTATCGGCTTATAGTATTCTAGGGTTGGGAAACGGCTAAATCTTCACTCTAAAGAGTTTCTGGCCAAGCTTTTCCAATCAATCAAGAAACACAATCGGTCCTTTCAGTTATTTTCTTACCATCTTCTGTTCTTCATCTTCATTCTTCTTATATGATTACCTATAGAACATTTTTTGTATAAGTTCTTCAACTTGTAAGAGTATCTAGTCTTATGATACTCCAGATTATTAAGATACAATATCAATGTATGATAACATTTTTCAAGCATTTTGTTCATGACTAGTACTATATAAGGCCTATTTTTTGTAATCCGTACGGGGATCTTATAGACTTAAGACGGCTCTGCTCCCATATTGCATAAGTCCATTTATTTGCTAATTTGGCCTATAGTTAACCGCCACATGGTTATTCCTCCCATGTGGTTGTTTTAGTTTCCTTTTATTTTTTATAGAAATTAGTTCAAATAGGACTAAAACTATGGCAAAAACCTAAAATAGGACTTGCTATGTTTTTATTCCAAAATAGGACCATATGAGTCCTATTGGAAACATACCTATTTTTGCATTCCATTCTTACCCTTCCATTAAATATGAATTAAAAATAGTCAAAAGCCATAATTAAATATTTAATTCATAATAAATTCGAAAAAAATTCAAAAATTCGTAGAAATATAAGTAAAAAATTTATAAAAATTTTATAAAATAAAAAATTCATTTTTTAAATTATTTTATTTTTAAAAAAATTAATAAAAAATAGTAAAACTCCGTAAAAAAAAATTAAAAAAATATGGATGCATTTCCCACCGCCTGTACTACCTCCCAGCACCACCACCTCCGGTCGATGAAAAAAATGTCATTTTCCCAGAAAAATGCCATTTTTTTCTGAAAATGCCAAAAAAGTGGCATATTTCTCTTTTCGAATGCCAACATTTTCATTTTTTTCTGCCATAAATATGACATTCGTAATGAACTTGGCATTTTTTTCCCCTGGTTACTGGAGGTGGTGGTGCTGAGGCGGCAGAGGCGGCGGCGATTTTTTTTTTTTGAGCTTTTATTTTTTTTTAATTTTTTTTTAATTTTTTTTTAATTTTTTTAATTTTTTGAAAAAACATTAATTAAATTTTTAATATCGAAATGTTTTTCTTAATTTTTTAGTATTTTTTACGAATTTTTATTATTATCTATTATTTTATTAGGAATTAAAACAATTTAATAGCTATAAGGGTATAATTGTCCAAGGTACACATAATTAGTCTTATGCAAACATAGTTTATTTTTTGGTCCTATTTGTGAAAAGTGAATGAATTTTAGTCCTATTTTGATAATTAACTCTATTTTTTATTATCTCACTACTTCCACCTCCTTCTTCTCTGGGGTTCTCGACGGTGCATACAACTTTATTCCTCCTTCCTCCACCTCTTTGTCTACTTTAATCCTTTCTGCAACTTCATTGCCTTGATTTAGTAGTTTTTCTTTTTCTAGGTATTGGAAAGTTGGTATGGAGGAAGAAAATCTGTGGATCTCATACCCCTGGTTTCCGATGCGACGGTGACGGAGAAATCCGAACCCACATAGCTTCTGTTCACCGAGAACGGCGAGAAGGAGGTGGTTGTCGAGTGGGACGGATTTCGTAACAGCAAAATCCAGAGACATATGGCTTCACGACCGTCGAAGTATTGAGAACGGAGTTTTCTATTCTTTCCGGCGCGCGACTGTTGTCGTCATCCCAAAGCTGCATGTCTTGACTGCGTCCAATCCTCGAAGGAGCTGGGTGCTACATGTATTTCTGGCTTCTGATCGACGAGGGAGCTGGGAATTTGACAGCAGGTCAGGATCTATTGGCGACCGACCATTTGTTGCCTGGTTCCACAACAGGGGAAATGGAGCCTTATGCCGAGCATGGATGATGGGGACATTAAAATTAGGGGATAAGAAAAAGGTGACAACTCCGGTACCCATTTAAAAAATGGGGTACCGTATCTATTATTCACTTGAGTGGTCCACATCATTATATCATTTTTAATTTAGATTTAAGTAATTCAACTGCAACACTTTCATTGATCCGTGCACAAAGGTATGGTACCTTATGGGTACCATAGAATCTACCTAAGAAAAATAGGAAAAAATGGAGGGGAAAACGGGAAAAAATGCCAAACAAGCATCTTATCGTGCCACATAGGCATTTTAACCGGATACTTGTTATTGATCGGCTAAATAGATAATTTGACCATTTTTTATAAGTACATGGACTTGATTGAATGATAATTTAGTACGTGGACTTGATTGACTTTTTGATAATAGTACAGGGACCTATTTGATAGTTTCCCATAAAATAAAGAAAATTTTATGTTACGTATGAAAAAATGTTAAAATAGTCCTCTACAGTAACTTCAGCCAATACAACAGAAAAGTAATTTTAACCTTACTTTTCTAATTATTACAGAACCCAACACGTAAAATCAAAAGTTATGTGTTTGGTTAAAAAATTGGCTGATGTGTCTCATAAACCGAAAAACATGCTCACAAAACATACTCTAAATCATTTTATTTGACATATTTAAAATGGGGAATTCTATTTAGAGCCTACTTTTTAGTAAACACACATCTACATTTGTGTAATGAATGATTTTTTTCCATAATCCTATTTATGCCCTTAAAACTTAACGCTGCTCGAGGTCGGTTGAATTTATGCTCATATCCACACACTCTACCCATATAATATCTGAACTTTTCAAAAAGAGGGAGAAAGAACTGAAGAACCGGATCTCTTTCTCATTTCACTTGTAAGACAACAAGTAGAAAAGGCATAATGAGATGAGACGGTTTGTAAGGCGGAAAGAGATTGGATCTAGAAGTCAAGCTAGCAGCGTGTAATTTCCAATTGAGAAAGAGAAAAACGGTTCTTGGACTTGGAAGCTCTCTCGAGAAGTAGACTAAGGAGTCCAGAACCTGCTTCTTCAGTTATCTTCATAGGCCGACAAAGTGTCAATCAATTTCCGACAGAGGGAGGCGGCAGAGGGTTTCCGAACACCGCCAGCAGCTTTCTGCGAGTCGTCTCGATACGCTTGTGGTGGCGAAGGCGGTTGAGAACAACATCTTTGTTCTCTAACAAGCAAGCCCCCCCCCCCCCCCCGGCTCATTCTTTCCCCTTGTCTAGGTCGCATGATTTAACTAGTACTTCGTATGTTATTGATGGATCACCGGACTGGGGTAGTCGGAATCCAAGTAAAATGAGAGAGCGAACTGATCGGGAAATGCAGGTA